CCATACTGGGACCCAAAAAGAGGCCTTTTCGATTTATGAAAACCCCCGAAGCTTGCGCATCAGGCCTCTGCACACATGGCTATAATGCTTATGTATGTTCTCATGCAAACCCAAGCTAGAGTCTAGCCCCGAATCCTGGCCTCCAAACCCTCTATTTAAACCTTAAACCCTGAACTCCGTCTATCCCTAAATCCCTAGAATCTCTTCAAAGCGATCCACGCGCAGTAATTTGGTTATGAGTTATAAAGAACCTTCAATCCCCTTCCCGCATCAACCAACCATGTCTATGCGTACCTGAACGTCAGGGTGGTGTTGCGTTTGGTAATGCAGGCCCCAGATTAATAAGCCCCCTTCCTTAATAGGAATTATAATAGGCATCCGAATATTTAGGCCCTTGAATGACGAGGTTTATTAATCATAGGTCTACATTATGTAGAGCTTCACTCTTGTGACAGGCACTTGCGCTCATGTAGGGGAGATATGGCTCTAAAGGTCCAAGTACCCAATTAGTGGCGTTTCAGGTCCCAAAACTATAACCTTGATGGTGTCAGCACCTGACGCCCCCATATTTGGGTACTTGGACCCTCAGGCTTATGTGCAGCAAACGTTGAACCCTAACCTCTAAGCCCTAAACCCCTAAATCCTTAAACCCTAAATCCTAAACCCTAAATCCTAAATCCTAAACCCTAAACCCTAGAATGAAAACCCTGAACCCTAAGGTTTATAGCTCGAGGTCTACGTTACCACATGAGGGTGTATCAGCATGGACAGCAGGTGACCGTCGGTTTCCCTGTAACATAGGGGTAATGCAGGGTAATTTAGGGTAATGTAGGGTTGTGTAGGGTGATACAAGGGGTTATATAGGAGGGGGGGGGCAATGTAGGGTGATATGAGGTAATAAAGGGTCATATAGGGCACGGTTTTAAAGGGTTGTTGGATCTTCTCAGTATCCGATGTCAGGGGATGCCATGACTACTATGAAGCCAAATGCTGAGCCCTCCCCACTCCACCAATGCAATGCTCTTTAGCATATAACCCCCTTATCTACTTAATATAATAAGATCCCATATACCCCATATTCTATCTACTCAAGGGGGACTATACCGGCTAACAACTTGCAAGCTTCCTGACGCAACATCTCCCCCTCTTGCATTACGTCTGTTTAAGCAACTATCCTCTGACCTACGTGAGCCTCACGGATGTCTCCTACTGAGCTGGGAATAAATTTCAGAGATGGGGCATGCAAAGCAGGGCGATCGAACCACCCCGCACCCACTCAAGGCAAACACAAGTTTGAGGTGATTCTCCACTTTAGGGTTTAGGGATTTAGGGTTTAGGAATCTAGGTTCTAAGGTTTCTCTGGCGTGCAGGAAACTGACGGTGACGGCCCTCGCATTGAAAGAACCACCCTCTTAGCCTCAGGCTTCGAACCCTAGCTAGATGCACCCCCAAACCCAATCTCTTAAACCACAAAATCCTAAAACAACTATATTTTTCCACAAATTCAAGGGCCCCAATAAATCAAAGGGCCTCAATGTAACCTCTAAAACACGTTAGTTCTTGTTCTGGGGACCCCCAAGGAAGTACCCCTAGGTTTGGGAAACCCTAGACACTAAATCCTGAACCCAAGACAACACTGTTCCAACCCTAAACCCGAAATAAAACCCTGAACCTTAAACCCCAAACCCCACATCCCAAATCCTAAATAACACCCTGTTTATGTCTCTACACTTTTTGCAACCATAAACCCTAAGCCCTTAAACCTTAAACCCTAAATATCCCTTATATGTCTACATGAATCCTCTCTCCAACCTTAAACCCGAAACCCCAACTTCTAAACCCTAAATCCTAAGCAACCCCTATAATGTCCCTACAGAAACCTTGGGTACTGCCCACCGTCAGTACCAGTTGGATAAATAAATATAATACAGTTATATACAGCCCTTAATAGGACCCCTAATATAAACTGTTACTGGGTGGGGGCAGTACCCAACATAAACCCTTTTTCAAGTCCCCTTTTTCAACTTCAGGCCTGGCAAGCCTGGCCCTTGGCGGAAAAGAAAAGGACGGAGGCCAGGAGTGCCTGGGCTGATGAGACTTAGGGGTTTAGGGATTTAGGGGCTTGGGGGCTTAGGGGCTTAGGGGTTTAGGGATTGAGGGGTTTAGGGATTTAGGGCTTAAGGTTCAGGAATTAGGGTTTAAGGCTTGGAGATTAAGGGCGTTCAAGGTTTATGGTACCCTAAGCCCAGAACCCGAAACTGTCAGGGTGTATGGTGAAGGGTTTAGGGTTAGAGGGTTTGGGGCTAGTCAGGATTGGGGGTTCACAGGCTGCTTGCTTCAAGGTCTGATCTTAAAGGGCAAATCGGGGGTTTTTAGTTTTTAAGGCTAGGCTTGAAGGCTTAGGGCCGGGTGGGCAGTAAAGGTTTATGGGCATTAAAGCGAATTGGCGGTTTTAAAGGCTAGGCCTTGAAGGTTATAAGGTTTAGCGTATCTGGGTTTAGGGTTTACCTAGACCCTCCAATGTAGTACCTTTTTGGTAGTCCTAATAAGAGTCCTAACCAAAAATGCCTAACGAACCCAAAAAGGAACTACATTGGAGGGTCCGGGTAGGGTGGAGATTCAAGGCTTCTGGGTTTCAGGCGCGGGCGTCCAAGGTTTGGGGTGTCAAGCTCGGGGGTTCAAGGATTAGGGGTTGACAGCCCCCCTTAAGTAGATAGAATATGGGGTATATGGGGATCTTAGTATAATACACCCAAAGCCATATTCTATCTACTTAAGGGGGACTATAAGGTCTGTGGTGGCCGCTGCTCCTTTGGTGATTGGGGGTTTAGCACTTAGCGCTGAGTGACCTCAAGCCCAGATTTCAGCTTCAAGGGTCAACTCTGCCCGTTGCCCCAGTTATCTTCGCCCACGTTACCCTCGGAAGAAAAAAAGGACTTGCTTTCCGTAAGTAGAAGGAGTCCCATACCCCAAAAAGTATAAACATAATCTCTAATCCCCATATATCCATATAATACCCCAGAAATATCCCTAGAAAACACCTATATCCCTCTGTAAAGGGTCCCGAACATTGATCCAGTTTTAGGGTCCAAGCACCCAAACCCCAAGTTTCGGCCCCCTAAGGTTACATGGGAATAGTGCACAAGAAAATGGAAACCAATTGGGGTAATATTAGGGTTATATTGGGTAAGATTATGACATTTTTGGGTTACATTTCCTAAAGTTATTATGTTGTATCTCGAATCCCAAAATCTAGAACATCAAGGTAGATAGTCCCGCCGGGGCTTGCGAATCTTGAGCTCGCATTGATCTATACTTGCGTAATTTCAAAGCCCTTTCCGACAAAACGCACAAGTTAGGAAAACTCCGGCAGCGCAATGTATTTCCCTTGAGAGATATCAACAACTTTGCTCTGAATAGTGCTGCGGAGCTCCAGCTGATAGACCAGGATACCCGTAATCTCAGGGGCTCGGGCCCACATCGAAGCAGGGGTGTCTTAAAAATTGTGGTCTCTACAAGGCCAAAGCGAGGTCTTGTTGTGTGCGCCATGGTGCGGTTCTCCAACCACAGCGACGGACCATTGCTTCGAATCTGTAACCACGCTTCGTGGAAGTAATTCGGTCTCTGACACGTTTCTGGAGAGCAAGTAGCCGAAAAGGCGACGCAAGCAGGTACATTAGCAGCTGAGAATTTTGGGGGATGTCTGGTCGGCTTGAAAAGGCTTGCAAGGGGATTAACCCAGGTTTCACAGGCATTTGGGGACTACTCGGGATTGCGCGCGAGTTATTACGCTACATCAGGGTTTGCAACTGGATAGATTCCTTCTAAAGGAAGCGAGCAGGAAGGATGACATGTAGAACTCCTCAACAACCTCGGCCCTAGCCAAGCACATCACAAGCAAAAAGCATATACTATAGTGCTATAGGATATCACATGGCTCTAACTTCTGACTTCTAACCTGTCTTGTGGGCCAATGGGTAACTTCCAAAGTCGGAGCAGAACATTCTAAATCAATTCCGAACAGGGATTCCACGGCGGCTTGCGCCTGGACCTTGGACGTGCTTGTTTAGGGTGTAGGATTTGAGCTACAGTCATTTTTCTTGTTTTGTAGTGAACGGGTGTGAATCCATACCCGGGAATATGTCAATGACTATCCTGAACTACCAAAGAAACTTCTACGTCTACTCTTAATGGTCCCCTGGTGACCCTAATCTTGACAGTAGCTCATTTGAGCTGGTGTCAAAATTACTTGTCTGTGGTAACGGTGGAAATCATTTAGGGTGCCCCGCATCGTTTTGCATGTCTGGGAGGTATCGTT